AGCAGCAGCAGCAGCAGCAGCAGCAGCAGACAATGACAGCGACTTTGCTGTTGTCCCTGCAGCCACCAAAGACAGACTTATTCAGCTCTTTTGGCTGCTCCTTGGGGACTTCTACAGGTAATGCTAATAGCTAGCTAGCCAGCTAGCTAGCCAGCTAGCTAGCTAGCTAACTAGCTAGCTAGCAGGCTAGCTGGCTGGCTAGCTGGCTAGCTAGCTATTAGCTGAATAACTGACTGTAGCTGTTTATCCACGCTTAGGTAGCGAACCGGCTGGCTAGCTGGCTAGCTAGCTGGCTGTTTGGCTGGCTAGCTAGCTAGCTAGCTAGCAAGCTAGCTGTTTAGCTGGCTTGCTGGCTAGGTAGCTAGCCAGCTAACTAAATAGCTAGCTGTTTAGCTGGCTTGCTGGCTTGCCAGCTAGCTAGCTAGCTAGCTAGCTAGCTAGCTGTTTAGCTAGTAGCTAGCTAGCTGTCTGTGTAGCTAAGCAGCTAGTGCGGGGCAGCGAAGGACTCCTGCTGATTGTTCAGGGTTTAGGGTTTAGGGTTTAGGGTTCAGGGTTTGGGGCTTCATTTGTTTTGAATTGTTTAGGTTTAAAGCGCGGCTGGAAGAGGGACGGCAGCAGCTGCTGCAGCAGCAGCAGCAGCTGCAGCAGCTGCAGCAGCAGAAAGTGGAGTTGGAGGCGGTGAGGTGTCTGTACACCTCAGAGCCCGCAAATGCAGATTTTCATTTAAACTAAACTAAATTAAATTAAAAAGTAAAAATATGTTAAATTAAATCAATTAAATTAAATTAATTAAATTAATTAAATCAGTTAAATGAAGTAAATCAAATTATATTATATTCAAGGGTTTAGGGTTTAGGGTTTAGGGTTTAGGAAACGAAAAATTATCTCCTTTCTTTTCTTCTTTTTAATGAAACATTTATTTTCAAATATTTCATTTTTTCGAATTATAAAAAAAGAAATAATTTCTTTTTTGAATTAAATGAATTAATTCTTTTAATTGCATTCTAAAATGTTTTTATTTTCAGAGTTACAAAAAAGAAAAAAAAGAAATGATTTCCTTTTTTAAATTTGAAAAAGAAAAAGAAAAAAGGCTTTTCAATAGGGCTTTTGGAAGGGTCACAGTTCAACTGAAGGTGATTTTTATTTTATTTTTAAATTCTTTTTTAAATTCTTTTTTAATTCTTTTTATCTCCTTTTAATCATTTTTATTTATTTATTCATTTATTTATTTATTTTTTTAATCTATTTGTCTCTATTTATTTAATTATTTTTTTGTTTTTATCTATTCATTTATTTATTTGCATTTATTTGATTGTTTCTTTTTGGCATTCTTTGTATCTTTGTGTCATTTATTTATCTTTTTAATCCATTTTTATTTTTGTCTTCTTTTTTATTTACTCCTCTTTTTTATTTCTGATTTCAATTTTGTTTTTTATTTTCCTACTTGCTGCTTGCTGCTCTAAACACTTCCCATTCGAACGTCTTTGTCTCTCTCTAGGGTTTAGGGTTTAGGGTGTAGGGTTTGCTGCTGCTGCTGCTGCTGCTGTTGCTGCTGCTGCAGGCGGCACAAGAACAAGTGAGGCTGCTGCTGCAGGCGAGGGAGCAGCAGCAAAAGGGGAGGGAGGTTTTGCTGCAGCTGCTGCACAAGGCTGACAGCAAGAGATTCGAAACCATTCTCGTGCGGTCAAACCCTAAACCCTAAACCCTAAACCCTAGAAAAAAAACCCTCGCAGGCTTCTTGCGGCGTTCGTAGCGCTTCCTGGCTCTGCACACTTGCGCCACAAAGACCTAGGGCTTAGGGTTTAGGCTTTAGGGTTTAGGGTTTAGGGTTTAGGCTTTAGGGTTTAGGGTTTAGGGTTTAGGGTTTAGGGTGTAGGGTTTAGGGTTTGCGCGCAGGCAGCAGTGAGTTCTGCAGAAGCCCAAAACCGCCTTTTGCAGCAGCGCGAAGCTTTTTGGAGGAACTTGGCGAAAGTGGGTTTTATTTTCTTTTTTAATTTAAATAAAAATAATATTATTATTAATTATTATTTATTTATTATTTATTTATTATTATTTATTATTATTATTAATTTATTACTGTTATTTATTTAATTTTTTTTTGGATGTGTGTGAGGTTTCGTGGAGCCGGAGCCGAGTTCGTTTGTCATTTAGCAGCAGGGTTTAGGGTTTAGGGTTTAGGGTTTAGGGTTTAGGGTTTAGGGTTTTATGTCGTTTCGCTTTCTGAGGCTGTCTTGGCGGGAGTCGTTAAGGGTTTAGGGTTTAGGGTTTAGGGTAGGGTTTAGGGTTTAGGGTTTAGGGTTTGGGGTTTAGAGCTTCTTGGAATTAACTGAATCAGCAAATTAAATAATTAAATTAAAAAACAAAAATGATTTAAATTCAAAATATCTTTTGTCTTCTGCTGCTGCAGGCCCTCTCGCAGCAGCTGCAGCAGCCCTCAGCAGCAGCAGAAAGAGCCATTCAAGATTTGTGGGAGCAGCTCGCGGGGTCTCAGCTGCTGCTGCTGGACAGCAGCAGCAGCAGCAGCAGCAGCAGCATGTGCGACTCTGCTGCTGCTGCTGCTGCCTTCTTGCTGCAGCAGCAGCAGCAGCAGCAAGAAGGCAGCAGGGCGGGCAACGATAGAGGAGACAGCACCTCAAGGTCCTCTGTTTCTCGCCAAGGTCCCACAGCCTCAGCTGCTGCTGCTGCTGCTGCTGTTGCTAGGCAGCCGGGCAGATTTGCTGCTCGCTGCAGCAGCAGCAAAAGCCTTACTGCAGCAGCAGCAGCAGCAGCAGCAGCAGCAGCAGCAAAGGCGAGAGGCCGCGGCCCCTCTCCAGTCCAGCGGGAGTACAGCCCCCGAGTTGTTGCTGCAGCAGCAGCAGCAGCAAATGAAACAGCAGCAGCAGCAACAGCAGAAAGCGAAGCAGCAGCAGCAGCAGCAGATCGGTGGAGTACCGATGACGCCTTCTCTCTCTGCCTCAAGGAGATTTGCTCTCAGAGCGAAACCACAGAGCCCATTTGCTGCAGCAGCAGCAGCAGCAGCAGGAGCTGCTTCTGCGGAGCTTCTCGCGGGCTGCTGCTGCAGCAAGATGGGGACAGCGAGCCCATTTGCTGCTGCGCTTTTGCAGCAGCAGAGGCGGGAGATTCAAAAGGAGACAAAAAAGAGGCAGCAGAAGCGCTGCAGCAGCAAAAGGGGGCAGGAGACACGCTGCTGCTGCTGCAGCAGCAGCTACAGCAAGCAGCAAGGGAAGCCACCGCGCTGCTGCAGCAGCAGCAGCAGCTCTTAGAAGCAGAAGTGAGTGTGTCCCTGGCAAGCAACAGCTTCAATTAAGTAAATAAATAATAAATAAATATTAATAATTCAAATAATAAATAAATAAATAGATAAACAAATAAATAAATAAATAAATAGAAGCAGCTGCTGCAGCAGAAGTGCTGCTGCCACAACTTTGCTGCAGGTGGAAGAACTCAAGCGGGAGAATGAGCAGCTTCTTGAGGCCAAGAAAAAGGTAAATAAATGCATATATTTAGCAGCAGCAGCAGCAGAAGCAGAAACGGCAGAAGCAGAAGCAGCAGCAGCAGAAGGGAAAGCAGAAGCAGCAGAGCCAGCAGAGGCGAGCAGCAGCAGCAGCAGCGGCAGTACCAAGTGAAGATGAACTCTCACAACTTGCACGTTTGTTTGCTGCTGCTGCTGCCGTGCTGTTGCTGCTGCTGCTGCTGCTGCTGCAGCTGCTGCTGCAGCTAAGTGACATGGAGAATCAGCTGCGGAGCCTACAGGAGCAGCAGCAGCTACTGCAGCAGCAGGCGAGTCCACTAACAAAAGATTTTAAGTTCAACAGTAATTAATTAATTAATTAATTAATTAACTGTTATTTATATTTTATTTTTTCGTTTTTCATTTATTTATTTATTTATTTGTTTGTTTATTTGTTAACTGCAGCACGAACGGGACGTGCAGGCAGCAGATGGGCTGCGGAGCTCGCTGTCCGCTGCAGCAGCAGCAGCAGCAGCAGCAAAAAGCAGCAGCAAGCAGCAGCTGCTGGCTCTCCAAATACAGACCAGAGAAGCAAGGCTTATTATTGCTGCTGTTGCTGCTGAAGGGGGGCCCCACACCCAGGCACTTTGTGCTGCTTACCTCGAAGCAGCAGCAGACGCTGCTGCTGCTGCTGGTGCTGCAGCGGTCGCCGATGCTGCTGCTGCAGCAGACACGGGAGAAGCTGCTGCAGCAGCAGCAGACGCTGCTGCTGCAACGGATGCTGATTCTGCTGCAGCAGCAACGGACCGTGAAGCAAAGGCCGATGAAAATGTGAATGCAACAGTAAAGGCAGCAGCAGCAGCAGCAGCAGCAGCAAAGGCGCAGAGGCAGCAAAAAGAACAGCAGCAGCAGCCGAAGCACCAGCCTATAGCAAGCCCCCCATCTCCCGCAGCAGCAGCAGCAGCAGGCTGGAGCTGCATGCGGCGTCAAAGCGAATTCTGCGGCATCTGGTCTGAAGCAGCAGCAGCAGAAGCAACAGCAGCAGCAGCAGTAGCAGCAACAGAAGCAGCAGCAAGTGACACCGACGGCGAGGCCCTTACTCCTCCATTTAAGCATCTTTTACCTCTCTCAGCCAGCAGCAAAGACAAAACAGCAGCATCAGCAGCAGCAGCAGCAACAGGAGCAGGAGCAGCAGCAGCAGCAGAAAAGTGGCCTCGCGTATCGCCCCGCAGCGCTGAGCCCACAGAAGAGACCCAGAGCAGCAGCAGCTGGCGAGGGGCCCTCACAACAGAGAGGGGCCCCCCTTGGGGGCCCCCTTATGGCACACACTTTCCTGGGGGCCCCCCCGCTGAGGGCCCCTCCCTTGGCAGCCCCCAGGGGGGCCCCCAGAGGGGCCCC